ACAAATTTTTGAATCTTTTCGATTTTCACAGAAACCATTAGCCTTTCATGTCTTATTTGATAGAGGGATGTTCACTCTATACGATCACGTCTTTAGACATAATTATACACTAAATTATCTAAGACTTTTTTCATGGTATAGCACAGATAGAACGGAGCATCAAGATCGATAATTATAATCGATTAATTCTTCACCATTAAAATGATTCAGTAGAACAAAGTACATTCTGAAAATAGGCAAAAACGGGTTATTTCAAGTGATTTAGATTTTCGGTACTTTCTTGAATTTTATCCGAAATACCAGTGTTAGTACTACCTGCAGCTTTGCTTAGTTGCGATTTTGAAGAGGACACCTTAATCCATCTATCCATCTAAAAAGAACTAATATAATTCTCTATTAAATTTTCGTGTTATGAAATGTTTTTCTAAAATTCCCTTATAAAACCAGTTGTTGAAAAATAACGTTTAAGAAAGATTCAAAAGATGCTTCGACGTCTTGGTTATCAAATAGCACACGTCTCCAACTCTTTTCTATCCCTGACTTATTCCAAAAACAGCCTCGCGCGTTCTGTTTTGAAGAGGATAATAATAAAATAAGTTTAGTAATAGAACAAAATATCGCACAGAACTGACCAACGTCTGGTATTATCGAAAAATATCTGCACTACATTATTCATAACTTAAAACGATTCTATCTACCTAAAGTTTTGAATGCATATTAAAATTTAGAAAAGTAACAAAACGATGAAGAATGCTTCGGTCTGTCCTTATCTTGAATATTTGATTTTACAGTAAATCATACTCTATATCAACATTTACATAAGATAAAGCATCGATTTTTGAAGAGAACCGATCGCGATTAAGATCTTGTGCCAAAGATTATTGAAGAAGATCTTGGTACAATTACATTCTTTTTGATCTTCCACTTTCGGTCCAGTGCAAAAGAGTCAGTATTGGAATGATGTTGTCAAGGTGAATAGCAACTGATACCTGTTGGTGATGTATGTTTGGATTAGTCGTATAATCTAAACTAAGTCAATAGTGATATATTTACATAGAAGAAATAAAATTTGATCAATGTTAGAAAACATTTTCTCAGTTTACGCTATTCTCTCACATCTTTCGATCCTTCAAAGAGAGAGATAAATCTCACTAAAATGTGATATTTAAATATTTATAAAGAAATATTCTCTCTCTTCTCTGAAAGGAAAGAAATATTCTCTCTCTTCTCTGAAAGGAAAGAAAGAGTAAAGTCAATATGTGCTCAACAGTTCATTTAAATGACTAACCTACCATTTTATAATGTCAGATATAATGATTAGTAGACATCAATGACACAAAAGGCTGTATGTAATATCGATGCTCAACACTCAGTTTACAACAATACAGAAGAAATGATAAAGTGGATTTCACTGTTCGCTCATTCTTGGTCAGTTGTCATTTGCGGGTATCTCTGTGAAAAAGAAGAGCCTTTGAAAAGGTTGAAAGAGCATTGTATTCTTTTCAGATCAATGAGATAAATGTTATGATTTATCATATGACATTTAAGATAGAAACAAAAGTACCCCCTGGTGATAGTAGTTATCACTGCGAATTTCGTACCTTAATGGTGTAAAAGAAATCTTCAACGGAGTATTCCCAAGAGGTCCAGTTGGAGGTGACAGGTCTCTGATAGTACACATGATTCTCTTTGCGTCCTTTAATGTTCTTCTTAAATTGATGATGTATGTTGGGGGATTAGTCACTAACCTGAACTAAGTCAAGTGATTGATATATTTATATATAACAAATAAAGCTTGATCAACGTCACAGAATTTTTTCTCGGTTCGGTCCTTCAAGGAGAGAGATAAATCTCACTAAAATATGATATTTAAATATTTATAAAGAAATATTCTCTCTCTTCTCTGAAAGGAAAGAAATATTCTCTCTCTTCTCTGAAAGGAAAGAAAGAGTAAAGTCAATATGTGCTCAACAGTTCATTTAAATGACTAACCTACCATTTTATAATGTCAGATATAATGATTAGTAGACATCAACGACACAAAGGGCTTTGTATAACATCGATGCTCAACACTCAGTTTACAACAACGCAGAAGAAAAGATGAAGCGGATTCTATTGTTCACTCATTCGTGTTCGGTTGTCATTTGCGGGTATCTCTGTGGCAAAGACCAGCCTTTGAAAAGACTGGAAAAGGAAACATCATCATAAAAGAATATTTCCATGGTGTTTGACAAAGAAGTTTTAGATTTTTTAAGAAGCTTGAAGTGAGAAATTCAGGCAGTGTATGGGAGATGCACAACCAGCTGTAACAATTCTTTTTCTTGCACTCGCGGTTTTGATTCTTTCGGTAAAATTTGACGTTTCTTTTTCGTATCAAATATCAGTTCAGTTCAGTTATTTTGGAAGAAGTCATGATTCATAAAAAAAAAGTCTACATCTGTGTAGATGAAACAAAGAAAAACAAAAGTAGGCATTTAACTTTTCCTTTCCTATTCTGACGAAGTTTAAGAACTCGGTATTATTGTAATATACCTCGAGTATTTATTCCCTCATATTTTCATAATATTTTATCAATGAAGCAAAAATGTCGCCCTGTTGGTCGTCTTCATCACTGCGACATTCGGACTTCGCGGTGGAAAATATGAAGAATGGAAGAAAGTATTTTTAAACGCATAGAAACCAGTATGTGGTATTATCGGACAGTGTTGTGAGATCAACCGAAAGGGAAAGAATGATTTTTTTATTTTGCTGTTCTTATGTTTATCTTTTACATGATTTTTCACAGAAAGAATCCAGTGGTTTATATTTTGTTACCATTAGAAATATGCTCTTAAAATTGTAACCAGCGACAAACAAGGAGATTTTCAAAAAAAATTAGTATTGATAGCATCGAGTCGATTGCACAACGTCGATCGTTTTACAGAATGTAGACACAAAACAGTGGATTTAGTTTTGCAGTTTACTGCAAAGTTAAGTTCAAGTGTTCGAAACTCTTTTCGTACAAAACTGATTTTGTGTTTTACGAGAGGTTTAATTTTTAATACTCTAATGGAGTGTTTTCCTCTTGTACTCTGACAGAATAACGCGTATATCAACGAGGAGACAATTACTATTACTTCAATGGCTATTATTTCTCGCGCCATGGATTGAAGAATAAACTATACGGCTTGTCCACTGAACTCCTATGACAGAGATGTAACAGCGTTACTATTTTTGCTCCTTTTGTTTTGACTATAACTCCGTAGCTAAAAGTCGTAGAGAGTTCGGAGACGTTTTAAATTATAGAAAAAATTGTTTTCCACATGTTGAGATCTGTTTAGACTATAGGTAACATATCTTCATAAAACTGTTATCCAAATGAACCTGCTTTTTAAGAATTAAAACCAAAAGTGTAGATCTCAGCATTTTGACCACAGTTTTTTAGAAAACTCTCTACGACTTTTCGTTTCGGACTTACAGTCGAAACTAAATGAGCAAAAAAAAGGAACGCTGCCATAAGAGTTACGTGGACAAGCCGCATACTTGTACAAGATATCAATTTTCTTTTGATAAACATTAAGATTATATAAACATAGACGTACAGTATGATAGACAACGAGTTAAAAAGTATTCATCAGAGTGACAGTTTGATTTTAGTACATCGTCCGCACTATTCATTTTGGATTTTACGTTTTCTGTAGTCACTACAAATATTCGTCTTAAATTAACTCATTTCGGATATGTATTGCTTTAAAACGAAGTTTCAATGTGAGTTTTTAATTACGATGCTATATATTGTTTTCATTCTGTATATTAAAAGCCTAAAATTTTATACGAATGATCTTTGAATGTTTGATGTACTTACAACAGCAGAAAGTAGAATCACAGCGACTTGTGAAAATATGAGGAACTACCATTTTTTGATTTTCTCAGAAACCATCAAAGTCCTATTAACCGTTCATGTCTTATTTGAAAGAGGGATGTTTACTCTATACGATTACGTCTTTAGACATAATTATACACTAAATTATCCAAGACTTAAAAATACAAAACCAAAATATTGCAGATTTTCGAAAATGCATTTTTCTCAATATTTTCTAAATATAGAGTTCTCATTTAGCCGTCCCAAAAGAAATCTTGCTGCATTTTGTAGAGCATTATTGATAACTTAAAACGATTCTATCTACCTAAAGTTTTGAATGCATATTAAAATTTAGAAAAGTAACAAAACGATGAAGAATGCCTCGGTCTGTCCTTATCTTGAATATTTGATTTTACAGTAAATCATACTCCCAGCATAACTGAAATACTCCGATCTAAAGTCATATTTCTCTCTATTGACGATCAATTGAAATTAAACTATCATATCATCAGCTGTTTGCCGGAAAAATCGTACACACGAAAGAATATTGGCTACTTAGCAGCAGTCGAATGTGAAGCAAGAGTGATCTATGAATCGGATGATGATAATCTTCTAGAGAAAAATGACATTAAAGTACTACCGAAGCAAAGTTCGTCATCTGACCTGCCATATGGCAGGTCATGCGACCGATATCGGTCGCATTTCATCAAGATCGATCACCATTTGTCAATATTTACGGTACATTTGGTCATCCACATATATGGCCACGAGGATTTCCCGTTGATGAACTGAAAAATGTCACCGAAGACGGATGGAGCTCCCTGAGACGAAATAATGAGCAGCTAGTAAATGTATACATTCAGCAGTATTTGGCCGATTTGGACCTGGATGTCGATGGTCACTCCTGAGCCGTTCACTTTTTCGCCGTACAACTCTCAGAACACTGTCACTCACTGCGAGGCATTTTGGGGTCCGTATCTTCCTGTCACAACCACATTTCGAGTGTGTGACATTTGGAGAAGTTTCTGGGTACAACGAGTCTTGTGGGACATTGTTGGTTCACTCGTGTTTGGCGCAGGCACCGTGTCACAAAAGAGAAACGCTCATGATTACATCAGAGACATGGATAATGAACAACAAATGTATTATCAGAGTGGGGAATTTGCTCGTTTTCTCACGTAGCACTTCACACAATCTACTCTTTTCGGGAGGATAGTCAATTATTCAGAGATATTCCACTAGCAGAATTATGGAGCTCTAGAGAAATCGACATTATGAACGCATGGCTTGACGATTTGACTCGTGTGGGATATCATCCACCGTCTGTCACTCAGAAAAAGGCTAATAGATCAAAA